TTCTGCGGGGAAGGTGTTTTGGCAAGGCGTGGGGTGAAGCGCCTTGCGGGCGGGACGAAAGCGGGGCATGTCGTCCTCACAGCGCGTCCTGTAACACCCCCCGGTGGCGCGCTGTGGCGGTGACTAGATGATCTCCCGAGGTCCCTTCCAACCCTGGCGATTCTGTGATTCTGTGACCCCTCGGGAGCCCGGTGTGTCCCCCAGTGACTGCAGTACCCTGCGAGTTGCAGAAGTTCGGCACCTGGAAAGTGCAGCGCTGGTGGCCATCAGCAGCACCGCCTAGACGGTGTTACCAAGTAAAAGTACTCCAAACCCCAAGTTCCACAGATTTATTTTAGCCACGCATAAAAATGATCTCGGTCTCAGTTTTGCAAGCAGACGTGGCTGGCTGGCCCTGAGCAGTGCCATTGGTTTCAGTGGCTCCGTGCAGGACCAGAGGGTGGCGGCAGCAGCAGCGGCTCGCCTGGTAGAGATGGCCTGGGGAAGGGGCTGCGGGGCTCGGACCACAAATTTGGAGGCAGCTGCAGGCTTTGCAGTTGAAAGCAGCAACAAGCCAGTGGGCTGACAGTGATCAGAGTAGGTGAAATGGAGCGATCAAATGTCACGCGAAGGTTTTGGTCCTCTGTGATTTGGTCAGTGGATGAAATACTGCACCGTTGACCCACCTCATTACTGAAATACAGTTGGTTGCCCCACATAGCACATTCAAAAGCTAGGTAAACCTTTAATAGAATGCTCGATGCTTTTTCTCACTTCTTTGCTTTTTATTCACAGGTTTGTATGATTGCTCACGTAACTGCCAGAAACATGCCAACCCTTCACCGACATGAAGAAGAGAAATTCTTCATAAATGATGAAGGCAGGAAAGAATCTCTACCGAGTATACATGATCCCGCTACAAGGGAACTCTCTGTTGTTGTGCCTTCATACAATGAGGAAGACCGGTGTAAGATTTTTCTTGTTTTGAGAAAAAGAAGAAAATCTATCTGTTGTTACTCTAATAATGCAGAGGTCAGTTTTATGTTAGCAGTAGTTTCTGGCAAGACAGATTATGTATCTGATTTTGGACAGAGTTTCCAGAAAACGGTCCAAGTACATTGAATTTCAAGATTCAGACAGACACCATGTAACGTGATTTCTGCTGCTAAAAATAGCATGGGGCACTTGTAAGAATCCTCTTTATTTTAATGAAGTCCAGCAGAATGGCTGCTCATTGCCCCTGTAAATGCTGTAAGGCAAGAAGTAGAAAAAGACTTTTAAAATTGATTTGAGAGCTTCCCACTCTGTAAACAACAGCAGCTGCTTCAGACAAACAGAAAAACGGGTGATCTCATGGGTTTCTGTTTGACTTGGCCATAGATATGAGTACCTGATACTAAAAAGCAAAGGCATTCAGGTGCAATAGAAATAATCAAGCTCTAAAGCTGTGCTTGAGGTTGATGGGGTAGCACACATTGTCATTCCTTTTCTTGGTGAGTGGAAATACTGAGCTGTTTGGGATTCCATTAAGAGAGATGTTGACAAATAAGTGTATCTGGACACGAGGTAGGCCTGGCCCTTTCTGAAGTCCAGTGCATTCCTCAGCCCTGGCTCTCATGCACCTGCTTTTAGTAAGCAAGGTCTTAATATGCTTCATGTGATTTTTAATTTAGTTGTCTCGCTCTTTGGAGGTAGAATAATCACCTGAGATGTGCTCAGGCATGAACATAGGCTGCAAAGACAACCATAAAGTTGAATGTCTTTCTAACCTGTGGATAAATCAGCTGCAAAAGTAGCTCCTGTTCGTTGACTGAAGCATCACAGCCAGCAGCCTTAGTAAGAGAAGGCATGTTACTGACTAGTGTTAGGAATTTCTCTTGTTGCCTTCTCTGCCAGCTTACTTAAATAGGTAAAAGTCAGTGCTGGTTTGCAGGGTCAGTCATGGAGAATGATTTTTTTTTTTTTTTTTCCTTTAGTATTGTGTAGAGAATACATATTTCAAAGTGGAAAGTTGGTTCTTAATCTTCAGAAGAAATGTTTTTATCCTGTCCTACATGTGTGATTTTCTTCAGTGTCTTTTTGCATTCAGAAAGGACAGGACTTAAAGTTGCAGGTGCTAAGCTTGTTTACTGAAGGTGGTGCTGTATGAAAGAGGCAATTTGCTCAGCTTTGCTTTCTGGTTGTTTTCAGCTTGCTTGTGCAGGTGCTTTTTGGTGCTTTTGATGCTTTGCCTGTTATAATCTACTAACCTGACCTCCTCCACCTCTTCTCTAGTACCTCTTATGATGGATGAAGCCTTGGATTATCTAGAAAAAAGACAGGTATTTTCATTGTGCATCCAAAAGTCATTATTATTCTATGTATTATGTATAATAAGTCAGTGATCTATTCACTTTGTTATTTGGTGTTGTCCTCGTTTAGCCCCTGCTGGCAACTAAGTACCACACAGCCGCCCACTCACTTTCCCCACCCTAGCGGGATGGGGAAGAGAACTGGAAGAGCAAAAGTAGGAAAACTCATGGGTTGAGATAAGAACAGCTTAATAATTGAAATAATAATAAATTAATAACAAAAAGGAAGACAACAAGGGAGAGAGAGAAGCAAAACCCAGGAAGAACAAGTGATGCAACTGCTCACCACCTGCTGACCAGCACCCAGCCCATCCCTGAGCAGTGATCGTTGCTCCCCAGCCAACTGCCCCCAGTTTATATACTGAGCATGATGATGTCATATGGTATGGAATACCTCTTTGGCCAGTTGGGGTCAGCTGTCCCAGCTGTGCCCCCTCCCAGCTTCTTGTGCACCTGGCAGAGCACGGGAAGCTGAAAAGTCCTTGACTGGTGTAAGCACTGCTTAGCAACAACTAAAACATCAGTGAGTTATCAACATTCTTCTCATACTAAATCCAAACCACAGGACTGTGCCAGCTACTGGGAAGAAAATTAACTCTATCCCAGATGAAACCAGGACAGGCATATGTTAAAACAATATTACGTAGCCACATAGAAGTAATGCTTCTGTCTCTTACAGATATTTTTAAATTGAATGCCAGAAGGTATTTTTCAATTAAATAAAAATTTAATATAGTACAATGTGATGAAAAAAATCTTCCTATGCATGATATCTCTCCAAGACAGAGATTAAGGATGAGCCATACATTTAGGTTTCTAAACTAAATCCTGTTTTTTTCTGACAAGTTCTTCACTGGGATTTGTTCTCTGGGTTAGAAGCCCACTCTGAAGGTTGTGGGTTTCGTGTTGTTTGGGTTTTCTTAACAGTTATGTTGTTCTGAGCGTTCATCTTTTACAACTAAATTGATTTTTCAGTGCTAGATGGTAGCTGAGGAAAACTGACAAGCTGCTGTAATGGAAGACGCATCAAATATGGCAAAATTCTTTAATTATGCCACCTTAACAAATTTACTGCATCGTATTGGTGTCTGTTGGCAACCATGAATGAGTTAAAAACTGCCAGGGAGAAAAGAATGCTGATGTTTGAAAGACCTAATACCTACTTAAGAAATGGGATGAAATGTATTATTTCTGTTCTTATTTTCAAGAAACGAGATCCTTCATTCACTTATGAAGTAATAGTGGTTGATGATGGTAGTAAAGATCAAACTACAAAGGTAAGAAAAAGAAGTATCTTACAAATAATCAGAGGTATGGATTTTTGTACTGCATTTGTGAAATATAATAATGTTTTACATTTATATTTTGGTACTTGAAGTAGTTGACAACTAAAATTCATATTTATGAATACTTTCTGTCATTTCCTGTGTGCATTGTGGATGTCTCATGCACACATGCATACACGTACAATTCTTTTGCAAATACAAGTATTTTTGATTGGCATCTGTGACAGCCATTTTCCTGCAGCTGAGATTCTAATAATTCTAATCTTAATTTCAGGAAATTTCTTATGAAATGTTCTACGTGTGCACAGTGATGTGAATATGAACTTGAGGAAGCTAAAAAGACTTTTAAAATAGCTGATTTATACTGTGATTGACAGAACAGCCGACATGTTGTATAGCTCTTTCCCATACCCTTCGTGGCATTGTTCATTTAAAAGTCCCTGTGCCAGTTGTAGTCTTTTCAAAATAGTTCTGCGTTCTTCTGCTTCAACTTTGATGTATGTTACTGGAAAGGAAGGCTGGCCAACTTGAAGGTTTTTTACTACTGCTTGGAAGACGTTTGAGTTCGCTACTAAAATGAATGCTGCTTCTTGATTTACTTCCCTTAAACTTGTCCATTAAGGATTGCTCATATATATTCTTTGACTGCTTTGCATTCCTTCTAGCATAATTTCTAACCGAGCACACTATGGCCGTGGGACTCTGGACTTAGAAGGACTTGAGACAACCTTTAGAAAAAATTAGAGGAAAAAACCCATGCTTTCTCTTCCCCATAACGTGGAACAAAATGTGCACATCCCTGCAATATGAATGGGATTTTAGATCACCATGAACTTTTGTTTAAAACCACAGATAGCAGCAAGACAAGTGAGAAATAGGTAGCAGTAGTAGAAAATTATTTTTCTTGGGTTAACTATTGGTGTTGGTATAAAAGGTCTGTAAAAGTATGATGTAAATTACATTAGTATTGAGTTTTTTGGACTTGGGTGAATGGGGTTTAGAATTTCTGGGGGGAATATCCTGTTCTTATTGAACAGACTAGCTTTTTCAGTCTTCTGTTGTCTGTGAACTGGTTTTCATTTTCCCAAACAGACTCCAGCAAACACTGGCAGTATATTTGTGCTGACTGAAGTGGTTATAGCTCTGTGCTATTACTTTTTTTTTTTAAAAGGGTGAGCAAATGCAAACTTCTACCTCGATTCTTGTTTTTGTTTTATGCTGGTTTTTTGTGTGTCTATCAGGTTGCAATGAAGTACTGCAGGAAATACGGAAGCGACAAAGTGCGAGTGCTTACTTTGGTAAAAAATCGAGGGAAAGGAGGAGCAGTCAGGATGGTAATTGATACTTTCATCTCCTTCTTTGTCTGAACTACCTGTGCCCAAATATGCAGAAGATAGAGCTGTGCTGATTGGCATTTTGACTTCAAGACATTAACAAAATGATTATCAGAAAACTGAGTACAGGTTCTATAAATTAAGGCAAAAACTCTTGTCACAATAAGCTTATTTTAGATCTTGGAAACAGTATTTTGACAGGAAGATCGGTAACAAAGAATTTTTTTTGTATGAGAATTCAAAAGGAAAAGAAAAGTGAGACTTGACTTTCATGTTTCTGTTAGTTCCGCTTAGAAATAGGCATGTGTTTAAAAAAACAACCAACCAAAAAAAAAAAAGCTTTACAGATTAAAGTAAAGCTTTTGTAGAGAAAATACAGCTAAATTTGCAAACATTACTCTCCAGGTCATAGCTGTGGTTTTAAAAATGGCTAATGAACAAACACTCTCATCCAGCAAAGCCTGTGTTTACTGAAGCTCACTGCTATCACCGCACTCAATAGTAGAACCAGCACAATTTGTGCTTTCACATACTGATTTTCATATAGATATTGTCATAAAATAATCATGTTCTAAAAGTAAAATTGCTGTTACACATTTAGAAGGAATATTTTTTTTTTTTCCCTAAGATGAATGACACCTTACTTGTATGAAGAAGGGTGGTGTCATGGGTTATCAGTGACTGTCTTTATCTGTATTTTAAGCTCTATCTTTACTATGTCAATTTAATTTTTTTTACAAAATATGAATAACAAGAGCAAATGGAAAGAACATTAAACTAGAATGTATGGAACTTTTGTAAGGGATATAATTTTGAAGTTACTCCAAGAGAGGGAGAAAAATTCTCTGATAGATTTTTGCACTGCAGAATGTAGAACGGATGTATATACTGCTACTTCCTTGAGAGGTTTTTCTGAAGTCACACATGCTTGGTTGCGACAGCACGTTTGGTAAACCCACTGCTGATTGTTTTCCTGTCTGGACCCCTTCAAAAATTGTCAAAGATGTCTGACCAAGAATATGGCAAAGCAAGCTGTGAGACCTGTGCATCACACATGTTTTGCAGTGATACTGTGACTTAAGACTTATTTCTCAAAACTAACTTAAGATTATCTCTTGAATTTTCTTGAATCAGTGTTAGGAAAAAAACCAGCACTGCATCCTCCTTTCCATAGCTCAAATGACAAAAGCTATCCAGGGCAGTGGCAGCTGCTAATCACTGCTTTGTTGTGCTCCCCTCTACAGCTGACTGTAGCAACTTGTTGTCTTGGGGTTTTGGTTTGTAAAGCCTTTGGTTTGCAAGCTTCTCTGGAGAGGGATTGTTAACCTTTCGTGTTCATGCATTGTCTTTCACTGTGGGACACTACCCAGTGTGTGAAGTCTCTAGATGTTATTACAAAATAAATTGATAAATTGTTGTTAGTAGCAAAATATTAAGACTTAATCTGTTGTGTTGAATCTTTGAGATACCACTGTTCTAGTTACTACACCAGGTTTTTGGAGTGTCTTCCAGCTAGCTTAAGACAAATACTGATTTCAAAGGTGTTGATTTTTATTGACTGTTTTGATTGCAGGGTGTCTTTAGTTCTCGGGGGGAAAAAATCCTTATGGCTGATGCAGATGGAGCTACAAAATTTGCAGATATCGAAAAAGTAGAAGAAGGTCTAAAAAATCTTCAGCCATGGCCTGTGAGTATGAAGTTCTCATGGTTTTAGTTTAATACACATGCATACAGATTGATTTTTATTATCCTCTTCAACTTGAGTTTTTTGAGATCTGGTTGAAGATGTAGGTGTAAGTCTGAAGACCTAGGTGTAAGCTTTGAAGCTGCAAGAATGGGCTGTCAGAAGGTGGCTTCCACAAGAGTTCTTACCTCCTTTGCATTCACTGTGCCTATTTCAATGCAGTACATAATGTTCTATTTACCATTCTTCCTTTGAAGTTGTTCTGCTCTGTATAAATACCATGTGTTGCCTGCTCAGTTAAAAAACAATTTTTTCTTTGTTAACTGTTTTGTGTTTTCTTTTTATCTGATGTCATCCTATATACCTTTAAGGATGCATCTTAATTTCACCCTGTTTTATAGAGGATCTCTTCTCAGAGTTGTTAGTTTAATGACAGTATTTGGAAGAACTTTTATTGTAAGTAAGAATTCAAAAACCTGTGGAACAAGAGCTCCTCCCTGCATAGTCATTCTCTTTTGGGTGCTTGACTTGAAAGAACTGAGGTTTATTTTCTTTAACCTAGAGCTTACATGCAGAGCAGTGAGCTGCTTGTAGCTAGTTTCCCGAAGTGCCAGAAGCCATGTGCAGCCTTCCAGCGGGAGCTGCGAGGGACGCGCCTGTGTGAAGGGTGGCCGTCTGGCGAGTGCAGGACCACAAGCGCGGGAGCCACCGGGCGGTGGTGTTTCCCTGATGCTCTCTGCTACCAAGGTGGCAGCAGCTGCTGGTTCTCCAGCAACAGCCCTGTACTCTCAACTATAGGAGATTTGAGATATTTCGTGTGAGAAGCAGTAGCATGAGAATAATTTTAAACCTTTTGTTTTGATCAGGTCTTTTGATTTAATCTGAGATTGTATTTTTGGCTGATACCATGGCATCTTATTTGTTTGAAGGTACATCAGTGCAAAAAGCACCTTATTCTGTTACCTCTTCCACAGTGCAATACTGAGGGAAAACATACATTATAACATTCAGTGCCAAGGAATGCTGAATGCTTATCTGTGCTGTTTAACACATCTGCCGTATCCATACCTCAGAGAAACAGTGTAAGGCCTTAATAAATTGCAGCAATTTGTATGCACCATATGCAAAACGTAATAAATTTTAGGTAATCTGTTAATTGTAGAACAGAGTGATTTTAGCCTCAGAATCTAGCAGTTGAAAAAGTGCAGCTACAGGAAGCAGAAAAGTATACTGCTTTGAAGTTCTTTATTATACCATTCTCAGTACAAGATTCCACTGATTCAGAAAATGTTAGTTTAAGTAATAATTCTTTGATTTGTATTCCTGTGCAGAACCAAATGGCTATTTCCTGTGGTTCTAGAGCTCATCTGGAGAAGGACTCAATAGCAAAGGTTTGTTTCCATTTCCTGCTGTGTACTAATACTCAAATACTTCCATTATTTGATTGCGCTCTACAGATCTTACAATTAAATAATCAATATTTGTAAGAGAAGAGAAGCTAAAAAATAGGAAAACGTTGTCGTAACTGTAGCATGTGCTCCACCACATGCAAAGGATGTGTTCTAGACTTCAAGCACTTTGAACTGATGTCAATTAGTGTTCCAATTTATGGATTTAATTTCCCTAGTTGGGAATTTTACGAGCAGAGCTTCTAATCCCTGACAGAATTAGTAGCTAGTAACCAGTACTGGGGCTGGAGTAGAAGGCAACTGATGAGTTCGTTTTTATTGATTCCCTTGCAGTGCAAGAGCTTGATCTGCAGATCTTGAAACCTGTTTAAAATGAGTTAGGGATAATTAGCAGCAAACTGTTTGAAGAGTATTTCAATTTGTTGGAAAGTACCGTAATTTTTCTGTATTACTCATAGTAAAATTTCTGAGTTTTGAACACACGGGCAGTACCGTTCTGTGTGTGGCTCTTGTGGAATAAACAGTGATGCATAGGCGCGCAGTCTTAATCTTGCATCTGGTTTTCTGATGTCTTGGCAGACAGTAATTGACAAAGCACAGGCGTGGAACTTGTATTGCAACAGACACATTGCTGGACTAATTTTTTTCAGCATTGTTGGATGTGCTCATCATGTTGAATGTTCTCAAGAGTCAGCTTTGTTTATACTGATGTTTAATACTTGAAATTATTCTAAAATATATATACACAACTGCTAAAATAGTTACAAAAGTTCAGAAGAAGTTACACTGGTAACATTCAGACCCTGATAGATCTTTAATTTTTTTCTTCTGGTTTATCAGGTACTATTGGAGTGGTTCACTGGAAAGACTACTTGTAAATACTGCTCTGTGTATGTTAGCATCTTCAAAAAAACCCAAATCCAAAACCTTTGACATCATCAGAAATTGGGATAAATCTTTGACATGGTACTTGCATGCTTGTAGTACAGAATATTCCATTTGCAGTTATTTGTTGTCTGTGAGGCCAGTCTATCCTGGAAATGTTGCTACTACATGGAGACCATGTAGCTGATAAATTTGAGCCCAGAAAAAACACTTCACTGTGTGGTCAGGTACTGAAGATAGATAAACTTCCTTTAGCGCACTCATATTTTTTTTGTCTTTGAAGGTCTTGCTACATGAAGGAGAGGAATTAGAACAGGACTTTGTCTTTTAATGCAAAAGTACAATTTTTAGGGTGTGACCATCCTTTGCTTCCTGTTTCTCCCCATATTTCTGACAAATTTTGATGAAGGATTCACCAGCTGGTTAGGTAGTACTGCTCTGTTTGAAATATGTAACCCATTTCATCACCCAGCTGTCCCTAGACTGGACAGGAAAGACTGCCTTTACCACATTGGGAAGAGAGTGTTGTGTAGTGTAATGGGTATTAAAAAATAGCAGAACAATCTTTGAGAAGTTGGGATTACTCTCTGGGCTTAATGGCGTCTAAAACAGGAGACTGAAGCTGTGAGAAGCAGCCATATGGTATTTATTATTAAGACCAAAATTTCACCCTTAAATTCAGTCTCAAGGCATCAAGAATTCTATTCTGCCTCCAGAATTGTTAATGTACATTAATGAATTCCTAGTATGACATGCATAAATAGTCCTGGGAGTGATGAACGTCACCCAGGAACTCCTCCTTGTGAAGTAAGTAAAAAATTTCATTGGCTGACAGTTGTGCAGCCTCTTAGAACTTCCCTTTTGGGAGTAGTGGCCTTGTGTTTCTTGGTCACACAGTGGTTCACCTTCACCAAAAGAGCGAAAGAATCCACAGCAGATCCACCATTAACCTAGGGCTAGAGCACTTCTCTGAGAGGCACAAGCTGTGAATTTGAATTTCCTTAAGCCAAAGGCTATTACATAATAAGCTGAGCAGCTTCTCATTTTTCAAATAAGGTTTGAAATTATTAGCTTTCAAGGCATCTCTTATCACCCAGAGATGCTTACCAGTTAAATTGTTGGCTCCTAAAGATTTTGCATGCTATTTGGCTTGCAGTTGGTAGATACAATCACCTAAATTGAGTTTAAGACCAGCAGTGAGTTCAGAAGCCGTTTGTGGATCAGAGTTCTCGTTGTTCAGGAGCTGTCTTGAATAAAAGACTGGGAGGGACCTCTGAAAACCCAGAGTTCAGCCTCTGGATTCCATGGACAAACTTACCTGTATGATTATTGTGTGAAGAATAAAGGTGTAACCAAAGAGTAGACTGGGAGAACGTTTACCAGGAACATAAAATTGTGAAAGTCAAAGAATTAAAGAGGTGACTATGTAACATTACTAGAAATACAAAATGAAATAGTCTTGCACAGCAACTGTTACTTTAGTCCTGTTTTTACTTGGTCCATCATATACTGCAAAAAAGTGCATTCTTCAATTGCATTCCCTTAAGTGCCTTAACATGGTGTTTGCAAGCTCTGGAGATTATGCAGTCTTGAATGAAAGAAGTGGGTGGCAAACAACAAAGGATGCTCCCATTTGGGGTTTTTTATAATATAAAACTTTTTTTTCCCTCTCTTTGTGTCAGAGTAGCAGCTGGAACCTGTTTAAGTGTGTATTCTTAAGAATAGCAGTCTTTATGCAGTCCTGCTGGCTTGTTCTCCATTGTTTGTCCAGGTAACTTTTGAATTTGTTGGACCTGTTCAAACAATTTTTAGGAAAACAGGAGGATGAGACAGAGAGGAAAAGTAGCTCATAAGTGTCCAGTGGAATAGAGCATGTAGCATGCCATCCCCCTCGTCCTTCACTCTTCCTGGGGGAATTCCCAGAGAACCATGCAGAAGATGCTATGGCTGTCCCACTCACTAATTGAAATCCAGGTGCAGGTTCCTACTCCACTTAATAAGGCATTATCCAGAATAAAAAACTGCTCAGAATTAGGGAAAGCAGAAAAAATAACTTGGACTTCTCATATCCTAGGCCAGCGCCCTAACCATGCACTTGACTGGCAAGTCCTTCCTTTTCAGCTGTAATTTTGTTTCACTATAACAACTGAAAAGTTCTGGGTTTATCCCAGTGGAGAACAAAAACTGTTTACAAACTTTGAAAGCTATCGTGAAACGGGATTATTGTCCTGTAAGCCAGCTCTGTTCAAACACTTCACTCGTCATTTAAATGAAACCTTCTGACTTCTTGCCTTTTGTCCACAGCGCTCTTACTTTCGAACTCTTCTTATGTATGGGTTCCACTTCCTTGTGTGGTTTCTTTGTGTCAAAGAGATCAGGGATACGCAGTGTGGATTTAAACTTTTAACCAGAAAAGCTGCCTCGCGGACCTTCTCAACTCTTCATATAGAACGCTGGTAAATTTTTTCTTTTTGTTGTTGTTTTTTTCCTAATTGAACACGGTTTTGAAAAAGTGGTTTCATTATTGCAGGTACTACGAAGCACGTGATGTCTGTGTATAAATCCTAGCTGCTCAGTGTAACTAATTATAGTACTACTTGCTTGGCAATTTAGATTTCTTGTTATGCTAAAATATCCTGGTGTTTGCTAGGAATTCTATTTTATTATTAAAATACACTTTAGGAAATAGTTGAATATTTAATTTTATTCTTTCTACTTGTGATAATAGGGAGAGAGGGAACAGATGGGCTTACTAAGTTTTAATTTTGAAAAGGCATCCAACATAAACTGCAAGAAGGATTTTAAGACTACATTGCTGAGATTTTGAGTGGCAACAACTGACTCCTTCACTCCTTGCAAGTCCATTTTACTTTGGCATGTGGTATAGAAAGAGTTGTGTAATACTGAGACGTGGGACATTTTGCTTTTGCCTTTTCAGAGCAACTGGTAATTGATTAGGGGAGCAAACAAAAAGAAAATCCCAAGAAATCTTATCTTCCTCTTCACCTCTAAAAGAAGTCCCAAACAAACAATTTTTGATTGTGTTGTAATTCACTCCCTATTTCTGAGAGTTCACTCTCCTTTTACAGGTATGAGCCATGCAAGCAGAGTAAAAAATGGAGAGAAGCTCTTCTTATGATATGCAAAGTTAAGAGTTATTAATCAAAAATTTTATCAGTCTGTTTTTAAGCATTACAACCTCACGATTCAGTGCTGCTTAACCGTTACCTAAAATCCTTATCTGATGTTCATAATCGCTGAAGGCTCAAAGTGAAAGCAAATGCCTACTCTTAGCTTATTTTCTTGCCAGAATATTTCATGAGAGAACTACTGGTAGATCTCATTGATGTAAGACAGTAGAAAATTATGCATAGTCTTTGGATTACTTTAGAGCTCTCTCTTATTATAATTTAGCTAGAACAGCTCCCTTATGAGAGTGATACAGCTATGACTGCTGTTATGGGACTGAAACATTTCTTCTGCACAAATACCATAATTTCTGTAAATTTCCTACACTGCAATTATTGCTGAGAAGGATGGTGACAGTCCCCAGGATTAATTAAGTATAATCAAATCTTTTCAAACTATTTTCATCATCCAAGAAAATCTCTCACAGGCTACTGCTTTCTGTCAGAGAACAGAATTACTGAACAATGTTCGCATATGAAAATGTGTGTAATCATGCGGTCCTACTCAATTCCAATACATCTTGGTTTAGGTTGAGCTTTGGCAGTGATAGTTGAGCTATAATGCTCATCCAGAATGTGATTGCAAAGGTAGTGTTTGGGTGCACAGATCTGATGCAGAGCATTGACCTTCTGTTCAATTGAATCTGGACTTGCGGGCAGTCAGCATTTGCAAAATCACTTTCCTAGCTGAGTGGTTTACGTATTGCCATAAAGAAAACTATAGGTTGAACCAGAAACATGATTTCTGCTGCTACCTCCAAAACCAAACTTGATCTATAAAGTTCTGTAAATTTCATATACAGGAATTTTCTAAATATATGGTTAAACATGTATAAGTAGCCCAGAAGTGGACATCTCAAAATTATCCTATTTAACTTCACTCTCTAATTGAAGGGCTTCAAGAAGAAATTCTGAAAGAAATGAATGAGGATAATCAGTTTCATGTGTAAAAATGCAATCTTCAATCTTATTCTGTGGCAAACAGAAGATTTTGAATATAACTGTACTTATTGGGCGGACATATTATTAAAAGTGTTCAGTTTTTTCTTTAAAAAAGTCTTAACAAGCTTTCTTCTGCTACTCAGATTCTCTAGCATCAAAGGAACAAAACAGTAAAAATAGTTGTGCTGTACACTGTCATCTGTACCCCACTATCCAGGACGTGAGGCAGTGAAAAAGGAATATTGCTGAATTATTTTATAGTAATTATATTGCTGGTGTGGAACACGCTGGATCTTCAGGTCTTGGTGTGTTAATTTATTGTGCTTGTCTGTGCTACTATAAAATTAGCCTTCTATTCTTGCTTTTTTCTATACAGTAATTCATAAACTAATCCCCTAAGTGCTTTCCCATTTGTGTGAAATCTACTGTTTAGTGCTGAAGAATGTTTGTTTTGTTAGTCAAAAAAAGAATAATTCAAATTCTTCCAATAAATAGCTCTTCAGATACTTCCAAGTTGCAAATTTGCCTAAAACAACAATAGAGGTTTTTCTGTTTGGTTTAATTTTCTGCCAAAACATGCAATATTGCCTGCTTGTATCGTCATCTGTCCTTCAGGTAGTCCCTGTACTTCCCAGCCTTTATTTTCATACTTACTGGCTAATTTCAGTGAAATCTGACAGAGGAGTAGAGATCTCAAGATAGAAAGCTTTGGCAAGTTTTGTGGCAACTGAAACCCTAGTAAAGGAGAGAAACTCAGATTATTGCCACTGCTGAAGAAAAAACTACAGTATGGACTCAAAAGCTGTTTATCATCAGCTTCATAGACAGCCATTCAGCACGTGTAACCAGAAGCTAGTGTTTCAGTGTACTAAACAGAGTACTGTCCCTTTCCCTGTTAATTCCGGTGGTGAAACACTGGCACGGGTTGCTCAGAGAAGTGGTGGAGCCCCCATCCCTGGAAGCATTCAAGGCCAGGTTGGACGGGGCTCTGAGCAACCTGATCTGGTTAAAGGTGTCCCTGCTCACGGCAGGGGGGTTGGACTAGATGACCTCTAGGGGTCCCTTCCAACCCAAAACATTCTATGATTCTATGATTCTATAATATTCCTAAGATCTGGAAAGAAAACTGGGAGATGGGGAGGTATAAGCATGTGGGGAAAGTGGGTATATTAAAGGAAACTGTAGTCATAAGTGTCTGTGTTATACAGACAATTGGGATAATTGCAGTAGGAATTTATACAGGGACATCAAGCGTTCATCCCATAGAACCATACATTGGATTCCTTTGTATGTGATAATGTCAGAATCTGAAATAGCCCAATAATGGAAACTTCTTATTTTAAACAAAACTGGCCCCTGCTATCTTTCCATTGCATAGCATGTGTATAAAAAGGAAAATAAAAACTGGTTAGACATTGTGCCATAGAGGTTCTGTACATGTCATGAGAATGAAGATCTAAGAGGAAGAAATAATAGTCACATTTCTGCTGACTTGGAACAATGGTGCATCCCTAACTGGGTCACAGAACAACGTATTCATACTGAGACCAGCAGCGGGGAGTTGCAGAGAAACCATTACCTTGATAGTGGACAAAAGGCTCTGAAATCTGGGTTTCTTACCCCCTCTGCATCACTGCACTAGGGCTATTTGGCATCTGAAGAAATTATTTTATTCTTTTCGAATCTTAAAATCCCATCAGTGAAGTGCAGCTCTGTTAGGTACTGAAAGAAGGATTCAGTTCAGTGTGGTCAGTGCTCAGGCATCCTGGTAATAATGGAGGAGAGTGCTGGGGAATATTCAACAAACAAGCAGCATTTAATAGGATAAAAGAGCCAGCACCCTAGCCATTGAGTCTGTCGAAGGCTCCCCTGCTGCTGAGCCAGAGCGTGTGGTGAGCTGTTGAAGAGAATGAACATGATTCAGTTTCTGCAGAAGCCTCATCTGTCCTGCTCAAGTTTTGTCAGGGTTACATTTTTTGAGATACTACAGCATTGAGTGAATTCTTATGTGAAGACATAATAAAAACCCACAGTTTTCTTCTTGCTGTGCTGAATTTGATTTAGAGATGCTTATAGAATATAATCATAGAATCATTTAGGTTAGAAAAGACCTTTAGGATCATCAAGTCCAGCCGTTAACCTAACACTGCCAAGTCCACCACTAAACCATGTGGAGTTTGTATTAGTCCACCACTAAACCATGTGGATGCATGTCAAGCACCACATCTGCTCATCTTTGAAATACCTCCAGGGATGGGGACTCGACCGTTTGTGTGTGTGTAAGTGGTGTAGCAGGTCACTAACCATTTCCCTTGGATTATGGGGCTTCATTCTGCTCCCTCTCTTCCAGCTCAGGGAGCTGGGTACCCAGACAACAACTGGTCTGACTATTAAAGACTGAGGCAAAGAAGGCATTAAGTACCTCAGCCTTTTCCCCGTGCTTTGTCACTGTATTTCCCCCTGCATCCAGTAAAGGGTGGAGATTCTCCTTAGCCCTCCTTTTGTCGCTAATCATAGAATCATAGAATTGTCTAGGTTGGAAAAGACCTTTAAGATCATCAAGTCCAACCATTAACCTAACCCTGCCATCCCACCACTAAACCATG